GTGGGCTTTAATCCCTCTAAAAGGCACGTAAGTTTTAGGTTTTTATCCTAGGTCAATTTCAGTTTTATAAATAATTTATTTTTTCCTTTTTGTAAATACAAATTTTTCTATCTCTTTTTTAGGGTAATTAAAATGTAATAAAGAGGCTATATTAATTTTGAGTAGTTCATTTAGAGTAACGTTCTCTTAGACGGGTATTGTGAGGTGCATAACGCCTTCCCCACACACAATAGACTCTCGAACCCTATCCGATTTTCATAGACTACTTTTTTTTTGTTTTCAAAATTAACTTTTTAAAATTTTGGTGACGACTCTTTTTTCTTTCTTTTTTATGAGATGACCAGGATTCGGGTGTGACACCCTGCCTTGGTGATTTTTAAAACCAATAGGAAAGGATATGTACCCAAGGGGTCACAAGGAGTGAAGCATACCCTGAGTGGAAGTGTTGGTGTAGAATCATCAGCTCTATGTTCCACTCTCTGATAGGCTAGAGCTGTTAATAGGTCCCATTCGGTACAAAATATTAAAAATGAAAGGTAGGGATTGGAATTGGGATTGAAAAAACTTATTAAAAGAATATTTAATATGAGAGATTTCTTATTACATGAGATTAGACAAACTCATATATGTGAGATTAGATAATATCATGATAACATATGGTATTCTCTAATCCCACATCAATAGGTTTGCCTAATTTCATGTAACAAGTAATTACAAATACTAAATATTTTTTTAATGCTTCGTACAAATGAGAATATATAGAAATCCCCTACCTTTTTTAGTTTTTGGCCAACGGAAATCCCCTGACCTGGGTGGAATCTTTTTCCTTTATGGTATATCTGATCCCGGCCAAACCACGAACACCCCAACAAATAGAAAAGAAGCACAATGGCTTAGGAAAATTTAAATCATTAGTAATCCAATGCGATGTACTCCAATCATTGGAAACCTGGACAATTTAATAATCTTGTGAACACGTATATTTTGGGTAAACAACTTTCAAACACATTATTTTTTTTGCCATATGGTAAAAAATGACGCAATTTTAGGATCTATTTCCCCAAAGTAAAATTATCATGAATTAAATTAGTAATACTCCTCCGATCTTTAATATAGGACCCAATTAGTAAGTTGGTTTTGGTTCTAAATATAAGACTCATTTCTCATATTTATCAATTATCTCTAAATTACCCCTATGGATACCCTTTCAACCATAATCAAGTAGAAGAGAAAGATGAGGTATTAAGAAATATGATTATGGTATTTTAGGAAAAACATGTCATATTTCTTATAACTAACTAACTTACCTAACTTCCTTAATCTAATCAAATTAGTTAAATGAGTCTTATATTAAAGATCAGAGGAGTATGTTTCAAATTTCATATATTTTGGGGAGTATGTTTCAAATTTCATATATTTTGGTGCTTTCTCTATAAACTTCTAATATAATAGGAAAAATATAAGTTGCTTGACCTTTTTTTTTTTTGGGTACCTGTCAAGTATCATAACAATTGATGATTGTTAATTTAAATTTTCAAATATAATGTCTCATTTACTTGACGACTTTTTACACATAAACGTCAAGTATTTTTTATTTTTTTTAAAGAAAATATGACATCATTACTTAACCTACGGTTGTTTTGCTTAATGATCGATTATTTATTAAATATACTTAACTTTTTGTATTATAACCATTAAATATTAGTTTGCATGTGATGGCAAAAAAATATACATTAGTTCACACGACCTCCATCTCACTATATTTGACAGTGTTTATCTTTAATCATTAAGCGTTATTTATATATCGCGAAATCTGTAGCGGTGTATTCATGCAGAGCGAAAAGTGCGGTTCCTACTTCCTATTTCCCAAACATTCAAGAACGATATGGAAAAATTAGTAATTAGTTTTGAATGCGGGTATATAAATATTTTTTTTTTATTTTTACTGATTTGGTCCTTCATAACAATTTAACTTTTAAGAGATTTTAAGTTAAATATTCTTACATCTCGGTCCTTCATGGTAGGAGTAGATCCTCTAAATTTAAAAATAAAATATTTTTTATTATTGTGCTTTTTAAAATTCCCTTATGGTTAAGGAGTAGATTAGTCCTTTGTATTTACTTCGGTATTTGTAATTTATGTGTATATTACAAATTAGGCATTCTTTTTTCATACATTATATATTGGGTCTAAAAAAATATGTTCTACAATTCATAATTTATTACAATTTGTTATAAATTTACATTGCTACAAGATACAATTTGATTATTCATAGTATGAAAAATTCGTTCCCAATGTTAGCTAAAAAATAAAGATTAAAAGTTACTTAATAGTTACATTACTGAATTAATTAGTTACATGTTGGTGATTAATTAATTAATTACTATTTTATTTGTAGGGAAGGATTAAGGTGTAATGTTTAATACTACATCCGGTCCTAATTATAAGACCTAATTGACTAATTTGAAGAGATTAAGGAAGTAAATTAAATTAGTTATTTGTAACAAATAAATGTTGTCATTTCTAAAATATCCTTGCTAATTAAGTGTGTTGGTTAGAACTATCATTATTAGAAGGACTATCTTGGGAAAAAATGCATAAATATGAGAGACAAAATGAATTGAGGTCTTATAATTAGGACCAAATTAAAAGTCAAACGGAGTCTTATATTAAGGACCGGAGGTAGTATTTGGGTTTTGGTCAAGAAGAAAGTTCTACTTTTGTCTTTCACATTGGGAAACGTCCCACTTTTGTACTTTTGGAGAATCTAAATTCCTCCATTCCTTGCCTCTTCCCTCTTCCTTTTGTTGCGCCTTCATTTGCGGCTCACTCGTACCCTTATATTGGTGACTAGCTTCATAAGCCGTGTGTCTTTTTTTCGTTCGAAAATAAGCCTTTTGTCATTCAAGACTTGCTTTATTAAGGATTTTCGTTTTCCTCTTCATTTTTTTAACACACAAACTTTATTAATGAAAGAAGCAACGATACAAAGAGCAACCAAAAAATAAGGCTGGTTAGGATACAATACGAAGGGAGGAGGGGGCAAAAAAAAAAAAGAAGCTAACCTATACCAGCACGAACAACAGAAATGCCGTCTCTTAAAAAAAAAAAAAAAAAACACGATCTATCCTAACATTGAAACTGTCAGAATCTGAAATTCCTTGAAGATGAAATGGTGCTATTGCCAGTCTTCCACTGGAACCCACCCCCTTCTTTGCACAAATTGCTAAATAATTAGCAGCATAGTTACCATGCCTAGAAACAAGAGTAAACATGGCCTGAGGTCTAAATTTCAGCATACCAAGAATGTCTGTAACCGTATCAGCACTCTACCATTCAACACTAGCTAAGGAATTGTTCATAATAGCTTTGTAAAGTTCCTAGCAATCGGACTCAAAATAGATTTTCGAATAAGCGAAACGATCATTAAATGTTACAGCATCTCGAAGAGCAAGACACTCCGAATGAAAAGGAGATACAGCCTTAACTCTCTTGCACATATTGCCTAGCAATAAACCGCTTCCATTTCTCCACAAAACTCCAACACCAGCATAACCATTACCCTTACCAAAAGCACCATCCACGTTAATTTTGATAGAGCCAGCTGAGGGGACTTTCTAGGACATTTCTCTTGGAACTCGAACTCTTTTTTCCCTCTGCAACACTATAAAATCCAAGCCTTTAGCTGTCCAAATTTTGTTAACCAGCAAAGAAGCCAATGAAACCACCTTCGTTAGATCAATTTGAATTCCTTGAAAAACAAGGAACCTTTGCTCAAACCATTTCCGAGCACAAACTAATTGATTGCCAGTAATAGTTAAAGATAAAGGAGAGCCAAACCAAACTCTGTTGGCCCAAAGACACAGAAACAACAAATGTTCAATACTTTTAGGATCTAATTAACATACAGGTCAAAGCATATCAGCAGAACACTTCCTCTTGTAGAGTTTCTTTAGTTGCAAGAGCACCATGCAGCGGTCTACAAATGAAATGTTTAATTTTAAGCGGCACTTCTGACTTCCAAATGCAATTCCAAAGCTGTCAACGAATTATATAAGAGCTACCAGGCCCCTTAGCTGTTGTTCCTTCTTCCTCTGTTTTGGCAGCCCGATAACCTTATTTAATAGTATACGGACCATTTTTAGCGCACAGCCAAGTTGGAATATCAATGTCATACAGCTCTGGAGCTTTTATTTTTTTGATTGCACTCTTCTCCAACATAGTAAGCTTATGAGCAATTATACTCAGATCCCAAGCACCATTAGAGATCAAATCAGTCGCCTTCAAAATTTTCTCAACATCGGATTTTATAATCTCCACTCAAAGACAATTAAACGAAATCCATGTTACAATGTCACTTCCATTTCCATCTGTATGCTTCAACCTAGCTCTGAGCCTTCAGTGGTCGTAATTTCAATCTTTCGGAGTTGCTTGAACTTCAATTTGCTAAAGTTCTTCTTGATTTTCCTTCCGAGGGAAAGGGATTTGTATGGTAGTAATTTCAATCTTTCGGAGTTGCTTGAACTTCAATTTGCTAGTTATTCTTGATTTTCCTTTTAGGGGAGAAGGATTTGTTTAAGCTGATGGCATATTTGTTCTTTATGATCTCAATTTTCTTAAATTTTACTAGAATAATTTTTTATTAATAAATAGAATAACAAGTAATGTTATTAACGCATAGTGTACCTTAACCACCCCCCCCCCAAAAAAAAAAAAAACCACCTCTAATGGATCTTAGATACTATGATCATGCTTCTGTTTCTCAATAGAAACATCATAGTACTTCAAACTTCTCAGAAAATACATCCAAAAGCTCATCTTGACCTCCAAGTTACAATTTGACAGGCGACGATACCCACAATACAACAGCTCAATTTTCTAAGGATAGTGCAACCAAGTTCAACGGCTGATCAATTTCGTGGAGGTTCATGTTTGGTGTATATTCATTGTTTCATCAATTTGACGAGGCCAGTAGTGATTAATGTGTCAAATCATGGCTTGGGTGAAAAAGTCTCCATCTCCACCAAGTATCTCAGTACAATCATTCAGGAAAAGATTTACCGCCAAGTTCCAAAACTTTCAAGCCAATAAAAGATGATAACAAATAAAAATAAAAACTTGATTGCTAACACCAATCACTCGTCCTCTTGGCTACGCAACCTGGCTGTTCTGTTGGTAACAACAACATCCAACTGTGCTGCCCTCTCAACAATCTCCTTTCGCTTCCGGGTTGATACGTTGTGCGCTATCTCAGCACAGTAAGTCCTGAAATTTCATCATATCAATAAACATAGAAATGAGCCAGTGAATAATAAGAAACAGAGATAAAAATGCACACCAAAGGGAGTCAATTACCTGTTGTGCATCATCAAGAGTTCCAGCTCACTCACATTGTGCACAACAAATTTCTTAAATCCATTAGGGAGATGGTGACGGGTCTTCTTGTCTGACCCGTAACCAATATTTGGCATCAAGGTACATCCTTTGAACTTTCTCCTTACACGGGAATCAATACCCTTTGGCCTTCGCCAGCTGGGCTGCACACCACGATAAGAATATAGGCTTAATGAATGATTATCCAAAGAGCTAAGGAAGATGAAAAGGAAGTCATAATAGCTACCATGGGTCTCAATATAAGAGCACAATACAGCAATGAACAAGCATCAAGCATCAAGCATCCAACATACTTCAGTCCTAAATGTGTGTGTGTGTGTGTGAATTCATTTGAATAATAGAGGTTGTCTCCAGCTGCCTGAACTGCTTTTGACTGGTTAGGTTCAACTTCCCCGGCAAGCAAACTACAGAATGCCACAATGATATCTGAATGATTAAGATAAAGCTAATTTCAATATTCATTTTAATTACTTCAATTTATCTTCTATTTTAAGGCCATCGAAGCACCTCAGAGATGACTGGTTTAGTTGTCATTTGGTTACATCAATTGAGATTATTTATGACCTCTGATACGGTAATAACAAGACAAAAGCCAAAAGGTATCAAGTACACCATAACACAAACGATACTTCTATTCTTTCTTGGTTCATGTAGTCACCTTTTAGAAAGGAATCGGCAAGTGCATGATAAGCCCTAAAAATAAGGGTGCGAACAAGGTGCAAAACCAGTCTCAGCGTTACATTATGATTATGGAGGCGGACAGATGAGCTGAATGAGAATATCGGATTCAAAAAGACTTTTAAGTCAACTGATATTAAAAGCTGCAATCCATGTGAAATATATAGTATACTCTGAAATGTTTTTCACAGTCCCATCTCCAACAATTTCAGACCGTTCGCACCCACGGTTGTCACTAGACGATAAACGAAGTACAGTACACATGAAGATCAATTCTAAGTAAACTAATTCCAAGTAAACTAAGTGCTATGTGAAAACACATACCTTAACAGAAATTTTCCTGTCACTCTGGGGCCTCTTGAACTTTTTGACACGCTTCTTCACAATTTTCTTGCTTATCAACGGAACCGCCATTTTTTCTCACACAGATCTGGAAAAGAAACCACAAATTATCAACATCACTCAATATGTTCAACATAAATAAATATTGGGAAAAAAAAACATAAAATGCAAGCGGCTATCTCAATGCAGATATCCTGAGACTATCTATTGATGCATGAACAGGGCATAAAATTCAACCTAAACTAGACTGATGTTTTAAGGAACTTGAACTCACCACAAAAGAAAACGAAAAAACAACTAGAAGGCTAAAACAATGCTAGCTCATCATTGCAGTGAAAGTTAAAAACAATTTACATAAACCTGAACTCAATTGCTCCAAATCGCATCGACCACTTGTCTAGCTCATCATTGCAGTGAAAGTTAAAAACAATATCAGTAGAACAACCACAACTACAAACAAGTTCCGTTTCAACATCCCATATAGGTTCTAACCATTTCAGAGCAATTTTCATTTCCCAGGTTGCATATTCCCCAATTATCCCATGTCATGAAACCCCATACAGACAGATGGATAGAATCATCGATGAAAGAGGCAGTAATAGGAACCATAATTAGGCAAGCCAAAAACAAAAATCAACGTGAAAAATTCAAGGAAAGGATTGAGAAGTTGCAAACCTGCTTGCACAGCAGCTCGGTGATCTGAACCTGGGAACGTGAAGCGACGTAGGGTTTTAAAAATGCTAGATATCCGAACGGGTAATGATCCGGCGTTAAAATGACCCATCGGAAATATTATGGAGTAGTCCATTGTCCTTCATGGTTTGGGCCTCTACTTTTAATTGGAATTTATTTGGGCTAAGTATCTCATGTCTTCTGTTTCTGGAAAAAGAAAGAGGCCGGCAACTCAAACAATAATTATTACTGTTCTAGTTCAAAATATAAAACACATTTTATAATATAAAGTATATTATATACTTTATATTATAAAATGTGTTTTATATTTAAAATTGAATAAGTACATCAAATTATTTTAGACTGTTTGATTTTTGTTTTGAAAACAGGTTTTTGTTCAAAACTACAAGGGTAAATTACTTTGCATGTTATAATTTACATCAATTTTTTTGGGTAAATGCATCAATTTTGAATCAAGTCTCTATAATTTATTTATTTTGAATTGAGTCCTTATATATATTTTTTGTAAACAAAAGTCTAGATAGGTTAGGTTAGTGAGGACACATATCTATGTTCAAGAAGCACTTATAAAGGTCTTTACAAATTGTCCACCAGTAAAATTCTCATATGACAGTGGAATTCGAACCACAATTTAATAAGTAATGAGTTAACTCCTTACCAATTAGATTAACTCTTGTTGACTATGCCCTATATGCTAAATACATCCATTTGTCAGGATCTAAACACACCGTCGTCAATTTTAGTGAGTTGGACACATAGACATAACATGTGATTTGGCCGCCAGGCAAATTAACTCCCATATTTAGAGTCTTTAATATTCATATCTCTTTTGGCGATAGAAAAGTTTACAAAATTAAAAATATGCATTTTCATTCTGATTAATGTACTCTTCCGGTCCTTAATAGAAGACCCATTTAACTAATTTGATTAGATTAAGGAAGTTAGGTAAGTTGGTTAACTGTAAGAAATGTGACACATTTTTCTTAAAACATCATAATTATTTTTTTTAATACCTCATCTCCTTCTTTTACTTGATTATGGTTGAGAGAATATCTATGTGGGTAATTTAGAGAAAATTAATAATATGAGAAATAGGTCTTATATTTAGGATCAAAACTAACTCAACAATTAGGTCCTCTATTAAGAACCAGAGGAGTATTAGCTACTAAATAATCATGGTCATTTCTTGTGTTTTTTGGATCTAAATCACATCCCTTCTGCTCTAGCTTTCTTGTTCGTTGTCGACAATTCGACATTCGATTCGAGCATGGTTGAGATGATAAGAAGGGAGGCATGTCCACAAAACAAAGATTGGGTATTGGTCATCTAGTTAGAGAGATTATCTTGCTACAGTTTGAGAGTAATTTTTCTTCCTTCTATTAGCCGTTGTGCTCAAGAACACACGGAAATGAACGGGGTATTTGGATTAGTTTTTTTAAAGCAATTTTATGGTGTTCAAGTAAGTATGTAAATAAATTTTGTCTCGATTTGCATGAAAACACATTTTTAAGTGCTTTTGGCATTGTCCAATACCCCACTATAAATGATGGAGATTCTAAACATTAGGAATTAATTCACCTATTCTCAGTACATTGTTATGTTTATGTATCACTTAGCCTCCAGCACATTAAAATTAACGGTGTTACGACGCAGTTTATATCTTGAAGGATGGATGGATTTAACGGATTAAAATAATAAGGGCTCAATTTAAAAGAAATAAACTATAGAACTTGATTCAAAATTAATATAAACTATAAGTTTAAAGGTTGGCGGTTTCCTAAAAATCGATTACAAGTTCTGTATAAACATTGACAAGTCTACTTGTTACTAATCAAAACTAAAAATTCAACCTTGATTACTACTTTTTAGAGAACCAATTTCTGGGTTAAAGGATTAATAGTGACTTTGGAGCTCAAGGACAAATTTAATATAACAAGTAATATTTTGATTATAACAATGACAGGTATAAGTTTATCAGTAACAATTAATTAATTTTTCAAGGTGTCAGTACGGTAATTTGGTAAGAAATTCAACGTTAAAAGTCCTTAGAAACTGCAATATAATCAGCTCATTTGTCAGGCTTATGTTAATACCATATTTTATGTTCCTCAAATATGTTCTCCCTGAAAAAATTACCCGTTACAGTAACAAATTAAAGCCCCCAATACCTATTATTCCCAATTTTATATAGGTATGGACTACATTTCATAAGTTAATAACAAGTTTTATTTAGCAAGTAAAAGGCCACTCCATTATTTTATTCACAATTTTTGTATAAGTATTGACTCTATTTCATGGGCTATTAACAAATTTTGTTTACACAATAGTAAGGTTTCTCTTGCAAGTCATTCATAACTTTGAATGGGTATTGACTACATTTCATAAAGGATTAAGGTGCAATTTTAATAACAAAAATTACCTTAACGGATACTGAGCACCATAAAGTTTATTTAGGTGCCAAAATATATATGAAGTTATCAAAAGAGAACATCGGGCACCACGTTATTAGTGTCCATTAGTTTTACCGTTAAAAGGGCCTATGAAGTCAGTTTTGAGGCTATTTTTAACAACAAATTTATATCAAGAAATATTAGATACCATGAAGTTTACTTCAGTGCAAAAATACATATGACCTTTCTAAAAGAGAAAAAGATACCAAAATTCTCCAAAAAGTCGAAAATCACTTTTGAAAGGATAATCTAAACATCTTCTCATGAAAAGTTTGTTAAAGAGTACTTCATTAAAATTGTAATAAATTGAATAAATTTTCGACTTTTTACTTGTAGTTAACCGCTTAAAGCTATCATTTTAAAATAGCCTAGATTAGAAGTTTACAAACGGCTAGTTATGAAAGAAAATACACATAAAAAACCTCGTGCCAGTAAAATCAATTCATTTTAACTCTGTCAAAAAGTCAAATCAAATATGAAGCCAACAAAATATGCAGCTCATAAACACCTGAAATTAAAGCATGTTATATAGGTTGAGATGCATTAATATGCATATATGAAACGTTAAAAATACCAACCAGGCATTATTGATTATCGTCAAAACCTACTAATGCGGGAGGAGCTAGTAAGGACGTACGTACATGATCAGTTAACAGAAAGCCAAAACCTAACACTAAAAGCTTCTGAAAACTTGGGAAAAAGGCTGTGGAGTCAAATCATTTCTATCCTTATTTAATGCATTAGGCGAATATACATATACTCCTCCGTTTAAAAAAATTATTTATGAATTTAATTAGATTAAAAATTAGATAAATTAATCAATTATAAAAAATATGACATATTTTTTCTTAATATCATAATCATCCTTTCTTATACCTTTCATCTATCTTTTATTTGATTATGGTTGAAATAGTCAATAAGGATAACTTAAAAAAATAATAAATATGAGAAATAGATTTTATATTTGGAACTGAAATCAACTCAATAACTAAGTATTACATTAAATACCAGAAGAGTACTAAGGAGTATGATTCATGGGCATATACAAATAATCTTTTTTATTTAAATTATTCTATCCGTTCTAAATATAAGAACTAATTAAAAATTATTTTAATCCTAATATAATATTATAATCAATTTTATCTCTCAAATTTGCAATTTATTATTTGAATTAATGAATTATCCCTTGTAAATTGTACTCATTAAGAGAGTTTTCATTATGAGATAATTTACAACGTCAATTATTAAAAGAGTATTTTAGAAAATTAACACATATTTTTATAAATAACTAAATTAATTTTTTTAAGCTTTACAGATTAATTATTTATTTTCTATGTTCAGGACAAGAGAATAAGCATTCATATCATTCCCTGGCATATAAATGGAAGGAAAAAAAAGGTGCTTGCCACTCACAATATAATAGAAATCATTATGTTAAGCCATTGATTACTATATATGAGTGCAAAAAGGTTGAATGAAAAAATTAATATGAAATGTTTGAACTGTCACATATATAAAGGCCATTTCATTATGGTGCATGCATTGTATAAACACGTAATTGCAAATAAAGTTGTTATTGCTTTCTAAAAGTAATAAAGAAGTTGTTGTTATTATCACTAATAAATGATGGGAGGGACAAGGCTCGTGTGGTTGTTGTAAGTTTGAGACTTTTGAGAATTTAAAACTTCTTCTTGTTGTCCCGATGTACAGTCAGGACCTGCATTTTACCAGCCCCAACTGCTTCAAAAGAGCTCTAATAAATAAGAATAAGAATAAGAATTTTAAAGCTCCATTATTGTCCTTTTCAGCATTTTGCTCCACGTTGATTAAAAAAAAAAAACTACTGAGGGAAATAGCTCAACTTCTTTCCTTAAATTTTTCTCATGTTCCTCATATTTTTTCTTAAAAAAACTCTTCCAATTTTATATTCTTTGTCATGCATTCATAATATGTATCTTCTCTTTATTTTTATGACATATAAAAAAAATACACATATCCATGAAAAAAAATTAAACTTTTCTAGTTTCTACCATGAACTCCTTCGTCTTTGAAGGCATGCATATAGTAACATATTCCCTGTCTGTTAAAGCTAAATAGTACACACGTGAACTTATTTACGAAAGAATTAAAAAAAATAAAAGAGGATTATTTCAGTAAAAACTTTTAAAGGGGGTTATTTGTAAAATAAAAAATAAAAAAAACCTCTTAAATTTCAAAATCAGAAATTAATATATTTTCAAATATAGTCAATTATTATTAAAGTTTAGTAAATAAGATTGATTTATAGTTTTTGAATAGGTTAAGGTGCGTATAGTATGTCAAGTATTTTGTTAAGTGCACTCAATATCTCAAAATATTTTGTGGTACTCCATAATCATGAAATATTTTTTTAAAGTATATCCAGCATCCTAAAATATTTTATAGTGTAACTTTGCTCTTAAAGTATTAACGTTTTAAAAAGTAGTTGTGCTTTTAAAGTATTATTTCATGAGCATTCTTAACTTCATCGTTAATTCCTCAAAATATCCATTAAATGAATGTGTGTAAGTACGATAAAATATTTTTTAGTATTTTTCAAGATACTTGATGCATCTAAAAAAAAACCTTCAAAGTGC